ATCCTTCCGCCTCAGCCTTCCAAGTAGCTGGAACTACAGGTGCGCACTACCACGCCCAGCCGATTTTTGATTTATTGTAGAGACTGAGGTCTTGCTGCCCAGGCGGGTCTCGAACCCGCGGGCTCAGGCAATCCACTCACCTCAGCCTCCCAAAGGCGCGGGATTACAGGCTGAGCCACTGGGCCCGGCTATAATATTTTCAGATAGTATTTTATTGAGATACAACTCAATAAAAAAGCACAACTCTTAAGTATAGATGCAGCATGAAGACTGTCATATGTATACACCCATACATACCACCACCCAGGTCAAGATATAGAAAATGTCCATCACTACAGGAAATTCCTTTGTGGGACTTTTCAGTCAGTATTACCCCTCCTGGCTGACTTCTACCACCATAGATTCCTTTGCCAGTTCTCAAATTTCATAAATGAAATCATATAGTATGTGTGTATATATACGTGTGTGTGTGTGTGTGTGTGTGTGTGTGTGTGTGTGTGTGTAATATATGGGGGAATCTGGCTTCTGGTCAATATGTTTCTGAAATTTATTCATGTTACTGAATGTATCCTGAGTTTATTCCCTTTTTATCACAGAATAGAATGCATTGTGTAAACATGTCACAGTTTGCTTATTCTCAGACTGCTGATATTTTGGGCAGGTATATTTTCAAAGCACTTAACAAGTAATTTCATTATTCCTATGTCTCCCCAATTCAGATCTTCCGGCTTATAGTAAAAATATAATAAAGTAAAGCCTAGATTATTGACACCTGCAAAAAATGTCAAGCAACAGAAAAAGAAAGGAAGAGAGCATTTTAGAGTAACTACACTTAAAGATGATTTAATTGTAGTATACATTCAGAGTTTGTTTCAACAAAAACAAGTTAAGATAATTCACTAGACCATCAATTTCTTGTCATCTAGTGTTTTCTTTTTTCTCTAAACTGTATGATTAAGCAGAGCTATTGCATACAACTACTCACATGGTACACAACACAACTGAAGGCGCTCAAATAGATTACAGTGTGAATGGCGTCCTCTGGAGTTGTGCAGAATGGTGGCCATGATATTATGAGTTTTCTCTTTAAAGATGGCTTAATGGCATCCGTGTTAGAATCATTTCTGACACAGAAGACTGAGTCTTCTTCTTTCTTGTTGCATCTTTGAAGCCTTTCAACTTGGGAAAGGGAACGGTCCATCCAAAGCACAGCCTTTTCCCAGGCAAACA